TCAACTATCTTTTATTGATTCCTCATTATACCCCTCCATATTAACAAACTTTTGACTGACTCCCTTCTGTCTAAGTCTTAACTCATACCCTAACCCAATTCTCATTAGATGGGCTTGTCTTCTCCCTGCACAGCTATGATTTCATTTAAGTTTATCTACCTTACTTTTCTCTCTTGCAACCAACTTGACATCTGGAGACTGAGAAAAAGAGTACCAATCCTATCAGTGTAGATTTCCCTGGAAAAATCTTCTATTAAGCAATTTTAAGAGCTGTCTTTTCATTCTCTGCCTTCCAACATGGTCAGATCTATCTAAAAAGTCCTGTTTGATCCCCAAGCCCTTTCTAGATTCCATTTTCCTTGTTTTTTTATTGCCAAACTTTTAAAATTAATGATCTATACTTGATGCCATGTACCCTGATAGCCCTGCTTCTATCGCTACAACCCCCAAAAACATACCACTAAACTATCTTTCTACAAAACCCAATGCTTTTACTCAGCTGTAATGTCCCCCCTCTTTCCTGTGGACTATGTCAATTTAATACCTTCTTCGGGAGATTCTCTTCCCCAGTTTCTAGGTTACCATCCTATCATGAATTTCTTTCTTTCCTAGCTTCAATTCTGACTTTTTTCCAATGCACTTTTAGGTTGGCTTAGTCAGTCCTTTACGACAGTTATGTTCTTTCTCAGATGTCCAAATGGTGCCAACCAATTAGGCAAATAATCCCCAAATCTAGATATTAATCGTTTCATGTCATTGTATACCAATCATATTTTCTATTACTGGTCAATGCAAATCCTCTACTTGAGGCAGACTAGCCAGCCTAGTCCCAGGCTTCTTGCACATACAAGGTCATTTCTATTTCTCTGCCTTTGTTCCAAATATCTAACAGCATATGATGCTGTCTCAATCCAATTTCTACTTATCATTCAATGTTCACTTGGAGAATTGAAACCTCTTTACCCAATTACTCTGTCCTAAATGGGCCAACTTACGGTTGGCTCTTAAGAAAAAAAAAATCTCTCACTTCAGAGAATCACAGGAGGATCTCTTCAGTTCATGAGGAGACTCTTCATCATGATTCACTGATATACAGCAGAGGGCTAAAGCAATCAGACCTTGGTAAATATTTAATTAAAAGGACACAAAAAAATTGGAAAAATTTAAGGGTGCTTCAAAGTACAATAATGGAATGACTGAATATTCAATTGAATAACTGAATGAAAAGTTGCTTATAAGAATAAGCTCAAGGGCACCTGGGTGGTTCAGTTAGTAAAGCATCTGACTCTTGATTTTGGCTCAGGTCACGATCTCCCAGCTGTGGGTTGGAGCCCCACATCAGGTTCTGCCCTCAGGGTGGAGTCTGCTTGAGATTCTCTCTCTCTCTCCCCCTCTGCCTTTGTCCCTCCCCCTGCTTGCACTCTCTCCCCCTCAAAATTAAAATCTTTAAAAAAAAAGGATAAACTCCAAGCAGCCGACCTTAACCTTAATCACATAATTTTCATAAAAAAGTTTAACATGAATTTACCATTTGTGTTTTACTTCCACTTGATGATGTATCAAAATGATAAACATTACATTTCAAAAAGCATACCTTTTTTCAGCTCGTACTTTCTTCCCGCAATGAGAACAAGTATACATGTTGTCACCTTCTAAAGTGTCTTTAATAGTAACTTCATCAAGAGATTCCTGCATATTAAATCAGATTTTAAAGTCCCGTATTATTGTTTACAGTATGCAAAATTACAAAATGTAGTTCTTATCATTTGGGCAGAATGCACAGAGGAAAACAAACTTTTTTATAAAAAAATTCTAAATTTTAGCAAAAAAAATTTTTCCCTCAAATTGACAAGATGCTCCATGAATCTTACTAATTTTTTAAAAGTAGAAGTATTTCAACTTTGGGGGAAAAAAATCAGCTTTGTGGTCTACCTTTAATTCTTATTTGATCTGCACAGCAAGAAGAAAATAAATAAAACATGAAAGTTAATTTTTCACCAAGATGACACACACAAACCTGCTGTATACAAGTAATTAAAAGCAGAAAAAGTCTAACAATATATAAAATGTTACTCACATAAATGTTCTTCATATCAGCCACTTGGCACCTCACAGTATAAAACTCTTCAGCAGTCTGACTAACATGTTCACAATCCTGGTAAATCAACAAATATTAGTAATTTATTTTAATAAGCTAAAATAGACATTAAGATTTCAAAAAAGTAAAGAACAGGTGCAATACTTACCAAGGACACAACATTGTTTGTAATTACACCTCCAAACAAACTTTTGACGGTATTTTTCTTTAAAAACAAACAAAAGTAAGTAATTAAAATTGGGCAAATCTGTACAGATTTCAAAGAAACAGCAGTGTTCTAGTACTAACCAGTTCTGGAGACATTTCTTCAATTTTAGTAATGAGATCAGTAAAAAATTCTGTCATATCTTTCTGCTCCCCAGTATTCAGGGGCTGCTTATCCATAGTGTATGTTTTACAAAAGGGTCTAGGATTATATGCTTTGCATTCACTCTCCTGCAAAGGAAAAGGGAGAGGGATGGATCATGAAACAATCAAATCCTACATTTCAAAAAAAAGGAACATTATCACAAGGTTCTTGAATAAATAACAAAACGGAGTAAATCTACATCAGACCTGCTTTCTTCTGTTTCATTTTTGTTTGATTTTCATGGCATTTTCAGTTTTTTTTTTATTAAATTCAATTAATTAACATATAATGTATTGTTTCAGGGGTACAGGTCTGTGATTCATCAGTCTTACATAATACTCAGTGCTCATTACAACACATACCCTCCCCCCCTCCACCACCTCCAGCAACCCTCAGTTTGTTTCCTGAGATTAAGAGTCTCTTATGATTTGTCTCCCTCTCTGGTTTCCTCTTGTTTCATTTTTTCCCTCTTCCCCTATGATCCTCTGCCTTGTTTCTTAAATTCCATGTATCAGTGAGAGCATATAATTCTCTTTCTCTGATTTGACTTATTTCGCTTAGCAAAATACCCTTTAGTTCCATCCACGCTTTTCAATTTAATAGTCCTGGTGCCTGAAGATGCTTAAATTACTGTTATGAAATTTGTATTTTTTTTAAGATTTATTCATTTCACAGAGAGATAGTGAGAGAGGAACACAAGCGGGGGGAGTGGGAGAGGGAGAAGCAGGCTTCCCATGGAGCAGGGCGCTCGACACGGGGCTCCATCCCAGGACCCTGGGATCATGACCTGAGTCGAAGGCAGACGTTTTAACAACTGAGCCACCCAGGCGCTCCTGAAATTTGTTATTTAAGTCTAATAATTTCTAGGAAGGAATTCGGGACTCAAAGGATGCAGATGTGTACTATGAAACATAAAACAGAAAAATTTTGCAGGCTAAATTAAGATTTCCTGCAGACTGAACTTAGAGGTGTTTTTAAAATTTTATATTTATTCATCTGAGAGAACGCACAAGTGAGAGAGCACGAGCAGGCAGGGAGGATCAGAGGGAGAGGGTGAAGCAGACTCCCCACTGAGCAGGGTGCCTGACATGGGATTTGATATCAGGACCCGAAGATCATGACCTGAGCCGAAGGTAGATGCTTAGCCAACTGAGCCACCCAGGCACCCGAGAACTTTATTAGTTCTTAAAAGAGTAGTTTAAGGGCACCTGGGTGGCTCAGTCAGTTAAGCATCTGCCTTTGGCTCAGGTCATGATCCCAGAGTCGTGCGACTGAGTCCAGGCTACCTGCTCAGTGAGGAGTCTGCTTCTCCTTCTGCCCCTCCCCCACCCCCAACTCATGCTCACATGCACTCTCTCTCTCAAAAATAAATAAAATCTTAAAAAAAAGTAGTTTAAAATACTTTTCTGTTTTGTCAGTTCAGATGGCATGCTCCAACTCTGTTAAAAGTAGATTAAAAGTGGGATCAGGGTGCCTGGGTGGCTCAGTCATTGAGCATCCAACTCCTGATTTCAGTTCAGGTCATGACCTCAGGGTTTTGAGATCGAGCCCCGATCAGGCTCCACGAAGCCTGCTTAAGATTCTTTCTTTCCCCCTCCCCCTCCAAAAAAAATTGCAATCCAGGAATGACTACTAAATCTTTTAATTTTGTTAAAAATTTCATTTATTGACTCCTTGCTAAGTGTCAGAAGCTGAAAAATATAGGAATAAACATGATATAATCTCTGTCCTCAGGATTCTAACAGGTGAGATGAGTAACTTTCACTACAAGTGGTAGGTATGAGACAGAGTTGTGGAATCTACAGTTTTCTCACAGGAGTTGAAAATAAATTGCTTTGGGAAAGATGACAGTAAGAAGAAAAGGGAGAAAAGTGCTAAGGAAAGAGTGTTGCAGGCAGAAGCAGCAGCATGAACAGCTGCACAAGTGATGAAGCAACAGGGTGATGGGCTTCCAAGGGCGGACGCTTGCTACAGGATTCGGCTGGATAGAGGGAGGGGTAAGAGAGGAGGCTGAAGGGGTGCCTGACTGGCTCAGTCAGTACAGCATATAACTCATGATGTCAGGGCTGTGGGTTCGAGCCCCAAATTAGGTGTTGAGAATACTTAAAAAAAAAAAAAAAGGTAAAATCTTAAAAAAAGAGAGAGAGAGAAAGAGAGAGAGAAAGGAGGTTAAAAGAAAGGGGCAAAATCAGAAGACATGTGCTGATGAACCTGAATACTATTCTGTTCATAATAAAAAACCACCAAGAGTTTTAAGCAGAGGAATAATATTGTAAGATTTGCTAATTTTTTAAGATTGATTACTTTTATAATTTTTGAGGGGGAATTAAAAGGGACAAAGAGAAATCAATCAGAAAATTCTGGGGGTGGGGGGGTGGGGTGACCCTGTGATGGGAAAAGGACCAGATGGATACAAAGGATTCATTAAAGGACAAATTAACAGTCGTCATGCAGATGAGTGACATGCAACTGTTAAAAGTCACTTTGACAAAGAACACCAATAACTGACAAATTCAATTTGAAAAATAAGAGTATATAGTCAGCTTTCTTTCTGCCTGTGGACGCCACAGAGTAAGCATCGTTAAAGTCTCCCCTCCCACCGCCGTCATGTCTAAGTCAGAGTCTCCCAAAGAGCCTGAACAGCTGCGGAAGCTCTTCATCAGAGGTTTGAGCTTTGAAACAACCGATGAGAGTCTGAGGAGCCATTTTGAACAATGGGGAACGCTTACGGACTGTGTGGTAATGAGAGATCCAAACACCAAGCGCTCCAGAGGCTTTGGGTTTGTCACGTATGCCACTGTGGAGGAGGTGGATGCAGCCATGAACGCAAGGCCACACAAGGTGGATGGAAGAGTTGTGGAACCAAAGAGGGCTGTCTCAAGAGAAGATTCCCAAAGACCTGGTGCCCACTTAACTGTGAAAAAGATCTTTGTTGGTGGCATTAAAGAAGAGACTGAAGAACATCACCTAAGAGATTATTTTGAACAGTATGGGAAAACTGAAGTGATCGAGATCATGACTGACCGAGGCAGTGGCAAAAAGAGAGGTTTTGCTTTTGTAACATTTGATGACCATGACTCTGTAGACAAGATTGTCATTCAAAAATACCATACTGTGAATGGCCACAACTGTGAAGTAAGGAAAGCCCTATCGAAGCAAGAGATGGCTAGTGCTTCATCCAGCCAAAGAGGTCGAAGTGGTTCTGGAAACTTTGGTGGTGGTCGTGGAGGTAGTTTTGGTGGGAATGACAACTTTGGTCGTGGAGGGAACTTCAGTGGTCGAGGTGGCTTTGGTGGCAGTCGAGGTGGTGGTGGATATAGTGGCAGTGGGGATGGCTATAACGGATTTGGTAATGATGGTGGTTATGGAGGAGGCGGCCCTGGTTACTCTGGAGGAAGCAGAGGCTATGGAAGTGGTGGACAGGGTTATGGAAACCTGGGCAGTGGCTATGGTGGGAGTGGCAGCTATGACAGCTATAACAACGGAGGAGGTGGAGGCGGCTATGGCGGTGGTAGTGGAAGCAACTTTGGAGGTGGCGGAAGCTATAATGATTTTGGCAATTATAACAATCAATCCTCAAATTTTGGACCCATGAAAGGAGGAAATTTTGGAGGCAGAAGCTCTGGCCCCTATGGTGGTGGAGGCCAATACTTTGCCAAACCACGAAACCAAGGTGGCTATGGTGGTTCCAGCAGAGCAGTAGCTATGGCAGTGGCAGAAGGTTTTAATTACTGCCAGGAAACAAAGCTTAGCAGGAGAGGAGAGACAGAGAAGTGACAGGAAAGCTACAGGTTACAACAGGTTTGTGAACTCAGCCAAGCACAGTGGTGGCAGGGCCTAGTTGCTACAAAGAAGACATGTTTTAGACAATACTCATGTGTATGGGCAAAAAACTCGAGGACTGTATTTGTGACTAATTGTATAACAGGTTATTTTAGTTTCTGTTCTGTGGAAAGTGTAAAGCATTCCAACAAAGCGTTTTAATGTAGATTTTTTTTTTTTTTGCACCCATGCTGTTGATTGCTAAATGTAATAGTCTGATCATGACGCTGAATAAATGTGTCTTTTTTTAAATGTGCTGTGTAAAGTTAGTCTACTCTGAAGCCATCTTGGTATACTACCCCAACAGTGTGAAGTTAGAATTCCTTCAGGGTGATGCCAGGTTCCATTCGAAATTGATTTGCAACCTGCTTGGGCACAGAAGCCATTGTCTCCACAAACCTTGGTGTAGCTGAACTGACAGTTAATGTGTTGTGACCTGGAGTTCACCATTGAAAGGGTCACCCAAGCAAAGTCCTGGAGTTTATTTGGTTATTAATATGATTGTTGGCACATCCTATGCAATATATCTAAATTGAATTATGCTATCAGATAAAATTATAGATGGGATTAAAGCTTGTGTATCATCCATTATCTTGTGTAATCAATAAACGATTTAATATTCTCTTGAAAAGAGTATATAGTCAGGACAAATCCAATACAAATGAACTTCATTTAATGTTTTCAACTTATATAGGTTATATCTAAACTAGTTTTCCATATATGGTTCTCAAACATACCATTAAATATGTAAACATTTTTTGAAGCTCCAGAAGAGTGGTCTTGTGCTTCATATCTTCTGAATACTGGAAATCAAGAGAAAAATGTTCCATTAAAACATACTGATGGTAGCACATTAGACAGTCTAGCAAAGAAAGTATTACAATGTGCTATTACTGTATCTGTTTTCATTCTTTTAGCTCTATGTAAGAAAAACAATCTATTCTTTATTTGGCAATTTAGCATTTAAAAAATTATTTTATTCATTATATAAATGTAGCCAACGCTATTACGTAAGAAAACTGAATAAAGAGATCTTTAAAAAAAAAAATTGCTTTCCAGATCAACACTCATTTGGTACAATGCTCTTTTCACAAGTTGGTAACTGTTCAGGAACAGAAAATATCATAGGTGTGCAACAAAGCTGTTTTCTACAAATAAATCCATACATTTAAAAAAATGTATTATAATAATAAATGACATCTCTCCATCATCTAGTCATATCTTTTTTTTTTTCCTAGAACAGTATATCCTTAATACTGCAGAAAAATTACTGGCTAACATGCTTGAAAGCCTTCTATATATTCAAATATCATTAATTCAGGTATCTGGCTAGACTCACTCACTAGAGACTTAGTCCTGAACAGCAGCCTTATAGGCACTTATTAGATATACTCTAGCTCATCCAAATATTAAAAAAAAAAAACCCACAAAACTATGAAATATTATCCTCACTACAAACCACTTGTCAAAATTTTGAAGAAGTTCTGATAGTCTTGTGGAATAATAAGCCTTCTATATGCCAGAAGTATACACTAGTTATTTGTGTCAATTTTGTGGGAAGTGTTCAGTAATGTGGTTCTGCTATTTAGGAGCTTATAATCAAACTGAGGACATAAAGACACCGAAAAGGAATCTATTCAACATATAGTTACGGCAAAATTGTAAAATATCAAGTACAATAGGAACTGAATAAAAGGAATCAACAAAATTGACAAAACAATTACAAAATGTAACTGACATATGGGAGGCTTAATACTCCATCAGATTAGACTAGAAGTCACAAAAAACATTTTCCCATATGTAACAGAATGGTGATGATACATGATACATGTAAACTATATATAATACAACAATGGTCAGGAATAAAGACTTGGATTTAAAATTTTCATTGCTGGAGAATTAAGTATTAGTTGGCTGAAGAACGGAAGTGACTGACGTCTTCTAAATTAAGAAAAAGCAATAATGTTTTACTTAATGGAGAAGTTCTAAACATATACCTTACATATGTATTTACTACTTAAAGGAATACATATTTGCACCCATTAGGATGGCTTTGTCAAAAAACAAGTGCCAGCAGGGGTGTGAATAAATTGGCACCTTTGTGCATTGCTGATAGGAAGGTAAAATGGCACAGCCACTATGGAAAACCAGCACGGTAATACCTCAAAAAGTTAAACACAGAATTCCCATATGATCCAGCAATTCCACTTCTGGGTATATACATAAAAGAAGTGAAAACAGGGATTCAAATGGCTATTTATACACTCATGTTCATGGAAACATTATTTATGATAGCCAAAAGATATAAGCAACCCAGAAATGTCCACTGACAGATGAATGGATAAACAAAATGTGGTATAGACACACAATGGACTATTATTCAGCCTTAAAAAAGGAAGGAAACTCTGAACATGCTACAACATGGATGAACCTTGAAGACACTATGCTAAGAATGTAGGATTCCACTTAAGTGAGGTATCAGAGTCAAATTCACAGAGACAAGTAGTAGAATAGTAGTTGCACGAGGTTTGGGGGAATGGAGAATGGGAAGTATTTAATGGGTACAGAGTTTTAGTTGGGGGAAGTGAAAAAATTTTTGAGATTGATGGTGGCAATGCGATATCAATGTACTAACTACCACAGAACTGTACACTTATATTTAGTTGGGTATATTTTACTACAATCAAAATACATGTAATTTCTTTACTCTTACTGTGAACATCAGAAAAGGAAATAAAAATAACTAATACATTCACATAAAGTGCACATATGACTAGAGTACTTTCTGAAGTCATGTCAAATTCTATTCTGTTAATAATTTTTTATGTAGAAACATGTCTAAATTTAGTTTTTAACCAAAAACACCATTTATGAGACCTACTCCCAATTAACACATCTGATTGTTCTTTCTGGTGCTACATTTTAATTCCTGAAAGTGCTAACTGCTAAACGGTGATCATTAATATTTAGAAGAGAAATCACAAAGTATGGCCATGTTAACAGTCAGGAAAAAAAAAAAATCACTGAAATTATGTCTCTTCGCTCATCACTGGTTCTATAAAAATTAAGCAGATAGGGCCACAAATTTAGTCACAAAAATTTCTGTACACAAAATGAATCAGTTATTCAACATTTCTAAGGATCATCAGTCTCAGAAGATAAACTTAAAAGCATTAATATAACTAACATTAAAAAAAACCCCACTTGACTATACTGTAACTTGGAGACTTTGAAGCCTAAAAACATATTAAGGATTCACTGAAAGTACATAAAGAATTGCAATACTTTTTTAGGGGGGTAAAGTCAGGACATCAAGATGACACGATGGAAGAAAACAAAAACCCAAGTACAAACATGAAGTTTGCCAAGAAATTATAAAAGCAGTGCAAAAGGCAAACTAAACAGTCCATGGTTAAAAAGAGTGAAAACTAGAAATAACAAGAAGAGTAACATAAAGCAGACCTTACCCAAATAAATTAGGCCCACAGTCAAATTTACTTTGGGATAAAAATAAAACAAGTTAAGTGATTCTGGTACATTCCTCTACTTTGTTTTAGGCTTTGCTTATTTTGTATGTAAAGAAAATTTGTATTTATTTTTACTGAAAATACCATGTTCACTGTATACACTGAATGTATATGTTCCACAACTGTGTTTTCCTTTGAGAAATAAAGAAATTATACTAGTATGTTAGGAGTAACCTACTGAAATGTAATAATTAAGTTTACATGAGCTAGCTATGTAATCAAATACAGTCATTTTTTAATTCATAAATTACCTTCTCAATGTTTTACTAAATTGAAATAATCAAGATTTATTAACAAAATTTAAAAATTTTCTTTTACAGTTTTAATACTGAAGTGAGCAAAACTGTACCTTAGCAGTGAAGACAGCCTGTCTTGCCTCAGGTATCATATAAAGTTGCTGAATAGTAGAAGCCAAGTAACAAGTAGCTCCAAGGTTAGTTAGGCCAACAAATCTACACTCAGCACGAACATCCTCATGGGGCCAGTAGTCCCATTTATAAGGCGCATGGGCTGCTGAAAAAAGAGGGAGGAAAAGATGCCCCCCAAACAAACTATTAAACATAATGTATTTTGCTTTTACTAACAGCCACTACTCTCCATTACTTTAGTTAATATACATAAAACATTATATATGATAAACTAATATAACACCGCATGTCAATAACACTCAAAAAAGAAATAAAATTAGTAAGAACACACAGAAAAACTAATTCATTCTCTAAAAATTCAAAAGACTGCCAATATTTGATTTTACTTGGCACTAAATTATTTAACCAAAAAATTCCAAAATATTTCAGAAACCTATAAAAAGCCCTTTACATCTTTTTTTTTAACAAATCAATGTTTACTTTTTTAACATCTTAGCAAGAATAGTTTATAATGTTAAAAGTATATGAATAGTGAATTCTTTCTATAGCGATGCCTTCCAAAATCTCTTTTCTGCTCATAAAATTTAGAAAGATTAAAAGGAAAAGAATGCTTACACTGCATGTGTTGTGCCATAACCCAGTTGTGTATTAGCCTGTAGTTCTCAACGGATCCCTTTACCATCTCTACTAACAAATCATAAGCAGCAGCTCTTGAAGAATGTGATTTGCACTTTGGCTGTTGTCTGTCTTTTAGACTAGGCAACAAAAACAGGAGATTGAAGATATCTCTTAAAAATTCCTGGAAAAAAAAGAAAGGCCAAGTATATTATCTAAAATTACATATTAGTTATATTCTAAATATAATGAATACCTTACATAGAATGAACTAGTCTACAGGACAATCTACAATTTACTAAAAGGCAATTTAAAAACTTAGAGCAGCATCATATACCATCATCTCAAAGTCTTCCCAATGTTCATTTCTCTTAAAAAGAAAAAAAAAAACAATGGGTAGGGATCAACTTTACTCTTCCTTACCTCTTGAGAGCTAACAGGCTCATTCTTATTAGATTCCCATCTATAATGCTATTATTTTCCACTCCATTAAGTGACCAAAAGTTTTTGTTAAGGACTCCTATCTTGATTGCCTTTACTTCTGTTTCTCCTTATTTCACTCTCATAACATTAACAGCAGCAGTAGCAAAAGCACCAACTTACTCATAAAGAACAGTTAATGGTGCCAGATACTACTCAAAGGCCCCCATACAAAAGACAAAGAAGGCTAAGAACCTTGCCTGGAGTCACAGAGTTGGAAGAAGCCAGAGCCAGGATTTCAGACACCAAGCTCTCGATCCCA